AGTTGGCAACAATCATATTTTTGAAGAAATTAAGCCAATCTGTGACAATTTTTGCACAAAACCAATCAAGGACAGATGCTGACAAATCAGTACGCCTGCTTACCATTCTACTCCAAAAAATGTGCGCCGGTGTTTAAATAAGGGAAAAAATACCTACAGGCACTTACATTAAAACCGACGACAATCGAACCACACATATGCCAAGCCAGAAGGTTGCAGTCAGAAGGACTCCGTTTCGTTGTGAAAGAAACAGCTCGGATGTAAATAGTGCGTACAGAGTCAAGCCTTCTCCAATGACCAGTTCCGTGCCGCTCGTCAACAGCAAGAATATGCAGGAGTAAGCGCGCCATCGGAAAGCATTTCCCTCGCCATCACCAGAAACTTCGGGAACTGCTTCAAGCTAAAACACTTCAAAGAATGAATGTACACATAACAAAGCTAATGGATGCTACGCTGATAGCTAGAATAGCCCGGACTATCGGTACGGAGCCTACGATGTTACACAGTACAAAACGCATAAAAATACCGGTTTTCCAGCTTCAAGCGGTACCACTGTATTCCGATTTATGCGTACATCTTTTGCGAAAAACCTGGTTATCACAACGCTGCATCGGTTAATGGTCTAAAGCTGACTTCTCCCTGAGCTCGTGAACCAAAACGAAGAAAATACAATGAGCAGGATGTTTTGCGACAAGTATCACTATGCATTATTTGAAGAAATCCGCAAAATAGTAAAAAAATCTCATTTTTTACAAGAAAAAAATTATTTTATAAATCTCAGGTTACCTTAGCCATGTGAGAGGCAGCGATGAGCTCTGTGATGGAGCGCTTACTGCTGCAACACAGCACCGCAATAAAATATGGCAACAAACATGCGATACCCAAAACTGTAGCCAATGCATACACCACGTGAATGTTTTCGAATGGACCAAACTGCAATGGATCACCGGGGAATTCGCTAAATTAGAGACTTCTGCACTTGGTCTAGCAGTTAAACGAGGGTCTATTGAGCAGATCGGATGGAAAATTTTCAGTGAAAACACTCACCTGCTCCTCGAAATCTTCCCATATTGAAGCGGTGCTGAATGGCGCAAAGAAACGAAATCGCCAATTAAATCCCGAAAAAAGATAGGATAAGTCCGAGGAAGTAGCATTTTGACTGAGAAGGGTCAATTCCGCTGGTAACGGTACAACAGAAGTAGTTGTGCTTTGCACGAGGCCAGTGCCACCATCACTTTGTGGTAAAGCTGCAGTTGTGGAGAACGGCAGTGGACTCCTGTCCCTTCGTAACACTAACAATTTACTCCGATTATCGTTAGTTTCGTCCTTAATCATTCTAGAAAAAATTATTTTATGCAAGATCCACAACAGTTGTAGCTTACTCTTTCATATGTCCGCCACAAACATAAGGAAGTGAGGCAGACAGCGAGAACCCATCCTGCATTTGAAAAAAAAAAAAGGCCTCGCAGTATCCCAACCTTAAAAAGTCAGCTGCACCGATGGCCCCGATTACCAGCTAATTTTAGATGGAAATGTGTTCGCAAGCTTAATCAAGAGATTTCCTGTCCTGGGCTGCTTGCTTAACGAGTCGTGTTGAGTGGATACAGTTCGTTCAAAAACCACAGGCTGAATTTCCGGCACTAACTAAACAGTACAATACTATGACAAAACATCGCTTTTATTCGCTAATTTAGACGAAGCGTTTACGCATATAC